TTCTTCCGGGTAATCTCTGGAAAGGCTGGACCGATTTCGACGGGACTTTCACTGGCAGATAGCTGATGACATAAGGAGTAACTTAGGCTACTTTTTTTAGACTAGCTTCGCCCCGCAGCGTTGCCCGCGGTTATAACAACAAACGCGGGTAATACCGCGGGTCTCAGCTGGTAAAATGATAGGTGTAATAAATAATAGGTGGTACCCGAGACTTCGTTCACGTGGAATTTGAAGAGCAAAATTTTACAGGGTTTTTCTGAGAAGCAAAATAACCTAAGTAACTCCTTATACAGACAGCTATCTGGTAGCAAAGTATTTTGAAAATTGGTCCGGCCGGTTAGAAAATTACCCAGAACAAACAGACAGACAAAACAATTTTTAGGCATAGGTATCGTGCAAATAACCACCATAAAAAACCTATTATTTTGACATTACAAACAGACACTTCAATTTTAGTTATTTGTATAGATTTATATTTTTAAATAGTTTTGTGAATAAAAGTCGATAAATACTTAGTCTAATGCTTAGGCATTTGATTCTAATACTGACAGTCTCCAGAAAACTCGAATTCATAGTCTCTGTACGTAACGATCGGCCTATCGATAAACTTGAAACAACTTTATATTGAAACCTTTAGACTTAAAACTCTTGATTCCTGACCTTTGAAGAAAGGACCTCCTATTACTTTGTATTTCTTTTCATCCCTTGTGGGAATAATTTTCAATTTAATTGGGATTAATTCATTCAACCTAACACTATACGATACTAACGAATTTCACGTATAGTCTGTAAATTTTCGCATAATTTATTACCATCGCAGTTTTATCTGTGTTCATGGTCACTGCTCATCTTCTTAGGAACGTATCATGATATTTAACAGCCTATATTAATCCTTAATAACAATATTACTCTATCCAACACAATAATAATTATTCAAATCTGACTTATAACTTTACAAATTAGCATGTTTAAAAAATAAAAAATCTCTTCAACTTTATTATATAAGTACTAGTGGTATAGATAGTGCCTTAGATTTATTTAAATATATGCATATCTAGAAGGAGTAATGCACACAAAAACTAAAACAAAGAAGCCGAATTTATTATGATGTTGTAAGAGCAAATCGAGCGTTTATAATGAAAGCTGACACACACATAGCACACATAGCGACACACACATAGCGACATCAAAAAAACTAGCCAATAGTTGGACTCTATTTTGTTCAAAACTCACACAATCGCTTTTACAATCTATCTAGAAATATTAATTGACCGGGAACTTTAACTTTCATGAGAACACGTCGTGAAAATACCTCTGGCCTACTTCTGCATGTTCAGCCAGATCTATTACCCCCTTTTTTCCCCTTGGATACCACCTATCGGTGGCATGTCAGACTCGAACCGACTAAAAACGCACGCCGTCTCGGGTACTAATAGCCGGGGAACCAGGTATACCCTAGAAAGGAAGTCCCTGGTGCAAATCTATTACCCCCTAGGCCAGCGCTCATGGAGTTCGAAGATCAGTCAAGAGTTTTTTTTTATATTTAATGAGTAAAATGTCTGACTATGTTTATTTTTATATAGCATCCGTTCATTAGAACCACACAAAACAACAGCGAACTAATCGAGGCGATGTTCCTTCTTAGAATGTGTGTACCAAACTACTTAGAAGTCGTTTCAGGTACGTCTAAACTCTAAGGCCTCACTTCTCTCTTCTTAAACCCTTATAAGTTAACCATCATCAAACTAAGAACTTTCTTAGCAACCCTAATTAATTTTGTCCCTATTTAACGCATTTCTCTTCTTTATAACAAGCTTTTATTAGCTTCATATGTAACTAACCTAAAGCATACCTAAATAAATTATAGAATTCAATTTTCACCTGATTCTAATCGATTGTCGAATTGAATTTGAACTTTATAACTTTATACATTACTGATATATACATATCCGTACATATACGTAGTTGAAATCTCATTTATAATAATATAATTCGGCATTTCAAATACTTCCCTTGAACTTGGGCTGGTATAATTGGTTTTGTGTTAGTCTTGGTATCGTAAATAGTGTGATAACGGAAGGCAGAAGGAGATTGGGACTCTTTCTTACTATAGTTGTTTCAGGCTTAGATTTAATATTTGACAAAGCTTACAATGGTATATTCATATTAGATTTATAGAGCGTTATAGAGGAGTCTTAAAAGAAAAACGTACGAGAACTGTTACATTATATATTTATTTACAATAAACATTCTATAACAAATATTTTGTAACAGTTGAAACAAGTTTATTCAAAGGGAATCGACACTATCCACAATACTATCTATTGTAATACACAAAACTAAAGCGTACTTTTCTAAACTAAGGAGTTAATTAAAAGGACAACAAGCTCTAAGACCATGACAATATCTTGACAATAGATACGAGACTGCACATAGTTGACTCAACTTGAAACAAGCGTTTAATTCAGGTTTATACGAAGGACGAATCGGCACAAATTTAGAAATCGATATCAACATAAAAACATGTCGTGGGAGAGCCACGCTTCGGAATATTTTGGCTTGTTCGACCGGAGTGATAAGCCTTTTTTTGTTAGGTACTTTCCACCTTGTGAGTGGGACTACCCCACCCTACCCCCTAATTTAACAAGGGGGAGCACTCAAAGGGCAGCATCGTGACTCTTGAGTTACAGCTGTCATAGGCGGCGGTACTCACTTACCATCAGGTACCAAAAATTTTAATCCTATGTTCATTAGAACAGAATTAAAAGATCCCACCAAAAACGTTTTCATGTAAAATGTTGCTAAGACGAAACCATATGGCTCGCATTGTTAAAAAATTACCAGATCTCACGTAGAGCCAAATATCTAACTCTACACGCCCAAACTTCACAAACTCTACACCTTAGTTCCTCTTTTTACATGAAATTGTTTTTGGTGGGATTTCACATTTATATTATATCTATTTTCAGACCTCCAGGATCAAAATTTGCGGGAGTCACACACAAACTTCCATTCCCCAGTTTAAGGATTTGGGTGGTAAAAGTTCCAAGTTATAGAATTTTTTGTTGTTTGTGTACTAATACTAGCTTACATACCAAATTTCAGCTTTCTAGGACTTCAGGAAGTGAACCATGAATTTTGATGATCATCAGTGACTCATTGACGAAGTCGGGGTTTTTTAGACATCAATAAAATCTAGAGTATAATAAAATCTATACTTTACATATTTAATAAGTCTACTATCGACATAATTTGCAAGCGGTGGTAGCCTAGTGGTTTAGGCGTTAGACTTGCGATCAAGAGGTCGTGGGTTCAAATCCTGACCAGTACACTACCGACTTGAACCCACTCCTAACACAAGCAATTTAGCTTAGCTGGAGGGGTTAACGGGAATACTAGTAATTTCGGTTGCTAGAAGAGTTTTTTAAAAAAAATGTTTGTCTAGTATAATCCAAAGCACTTCGAAAAATTGTAGCTTCGTTTTGGCTGAGACGTATTAAACACTTACCAATTCAGACCCAATTAAACTAATGTTGGTAATTTGACGAATGATTAAAAGCACGATCCGTATCTAGGTGTAATCAAATAAATTAACTGCAGGTAGTGGTTTAAGCGGACACCTCGCCACTTCGATCCTCCCATGGGACAACACTTTCTTCGATCCACAACTGTTGTTTTGAGTCTGGGTGTTCTTTGTGTCCTTTTGCATGTATGTTTGTAAAGGCCACCGCGACACGGGATATATTCCTAGTGCGAAGTCTTTTTAACAAAGAAGAATCCACATGTGTATGTATTTATTGTATAATTTTATGGTCACCAACTGCTGTGTAGTGACCATATTACGGGCTCTGTCTAGTATGGGATCAGACAGCAAACAATAACAATATTTCTAATAAAAATTAATATTGTATTTACCGTACCTGCATTGAAATAAATATAAGCACATTTTAAGTACCTTTTTGTATTAAAAGATGGGAGTTAATATGCAGTCATAGACATCAATATGCAGTCACTCCGAATGGTAATGTTTAAGGGTGTACTAGTCGAATGAATAAACTCATTATTAAAAGTTTGCTCTCTCTCTCTCTCTCTCTCTCTCTCTCTCTCTCTCTCTCTCTCTCTCTCTCTCTCTCTCTCTCTCTCTCTCTCTCTCTCTCTCTCTCTCTAAAGAGAGAAATAAGGCGGTTTTTCTCTTTTTATGTTTCATAATTAAATTTGTAAATTCTTAGTAGACACAATTTTTAATAATATTTGCATTTATAAAACTGAATGATTTGTACTAAATAAAAAATAAAACTAAATATTCATAATAGATATAATTGTTACGAATGAAATTATAAGTACTAAATATCAGATGGTTAATTAAATCATCATAATCATCATAGTGATTGTGCCTGCTCTTTGCAACATTTTTATCAAATCATCGCAAAATGATTATTAAACTGAATACTTTTATAACCAGCCAGTCTGCCTCACAACAACAACATATAGGAATATAATAAAACATTTGTTAATGACGTATCTGTTAAAAAAAACTATTTAATAAATAAAAAGAAAAACAAAATCATTGAAATTGATGATAAATCGGTACAATACCGTAATAATAATACCGTAACAATTAGTAACCCTTTACATAGCTCACTTTACTTCAGTGGTACTGATACGCGTTGATAACAAAGAGTTGAAAACGACTTTTTTTACTCTTTAATTATGTTTAATTTTCTGTTGGTTTAACAAATGAACGACATGCAAAACTCCTAAGTCGAACCCCCACTTCTGTTGAAGGCCATGAAGAAGAAATTATGTGTTTCTGCAGAGCGTTAATGGGTTTCATCGTCCAAGTGACACCGTCAGTATTTCTAGTATCCATGCATAAGTTACTAACATCAGAGCTGACAATTGTTCTCCATTAAGTTTATTAACAAAATGTTCAAGCAAACTATTTTCTCAGTTTAATTTTAATGCATTAAACTTAATGCCTCAAAACTAACATTCTAAAGTCAATCAATAGTGACTCTACTCAATCTATATGAATCACCAACAACTTCAGCAGTGCTGTACTTTTGAAAGAAATTACTCTTCGGATCCAATCCTGTCTCTCCGGTCATTCCTGTGATCGCCGTCACCACATCATTGGTCTTCTTCCCACTCTTCTGACCGAGGGTTATGTTGTACCTAGTGATCTCTAGTCCCATATTCCTGGAGCTGAAGCTACGACCAAGAGACTTCGACCTTTTCACCGAGAATTTATTTTTTGGCATCTTGATGTCATAGATTGGATTTAGGATGCCGGTGTAGTCGATTTGTGGAGGGTTTAGGGGCAGCTGGCTAATAGTTGGCTCTAGCTTGAGTCGACTTGGAGGCAAATAGTCAGAATATCGATGGGATACCTATAAATAGAAAAATATAAAACATATTACCTTTACAATTCCCTAACCTTACTTCAGGTTCAGATTTGAGAATAGAAAGAAGAGCATGTAAATATATGAATTAAATCAAAAACCATAAAAGATAAGAATATACCAAGGATGAAGCTTAAAAGTCTCCTAATCTTTGGAAGATAGGATTAAAAAGAAGTAACGACATACACAGCAGTTTCTCTACCGTTTCTCTTTACTGATCCCAGAAAAATATTGCTAAATGCGTGATTAGAATTCATATTCCTAAATACCTGTCTCCCAATACTTGAGTGTCGAGGCAAAGGTGGCGGAGGTGGCGGTGCTTCGTCACCAGACATGTAGTCTGGCGGCCTTGGTCTATACTTCTGAGGGGCTTCTGTTGAAGGTCCTTCAGCTTCTGGTAACCGCCAAGAACTAAGACGAGGAAAAATAAATCAAATGTGTTTCGACAATATAGACATAGATGACTTTATTGTGTAGAGTATTCTGGAGAAGCAAAAGTTTGCAATAGCTATAAATAAGCATTTAGTACTAGCCAAAGGTTACAGAAATTTGATGATCCAGAATATTTGATTTAGGTACCTCGTAGCTCTTTCACTGCTTCTGGATCTAGCAGCTCTTGCAAGCCGATGCAGGGCAAATAGCGCTCCTTCGCTACCTTCACCCAGAAATGAACATAACTCTTGGAGAATCTAAAAGAAGAAACGAATATTAATGCCTTGTATTTAGATTATCAGTTATATATATTCACTCTTACAAGTCTACTATCCCTATGGTGACCGATTAGGAAAACAGAGCGTCACCACCCCTATTAATCTCGTGCCGACTAAGGGAACAAACTATGCAGGACAACAGAACTGCAAAGAGAGATGGAAAACTTGAAAGCCAGCGCGGTACAGTAGGCCAAAACCTCCTTGCTGAGGAGAGGCCTATGTCCAGCAGTGGACTATTAAAGGCTATTGATGTGGTGTGATGAGACTCTTACATGCCGCAAGGTGTTGATAGAAGTTGTGTAGAGAGTGTTAAACACTAACATTTTGACAAACAAAAATTTGGTGCAACACACGTAATTGAGGACCTTAAGGAATGAAAGGTAAAAAAATTGAGAGTAAATTAAAGTGAAGGAAGTTAAGATATTGCTTAACCAGATGGATTGGAGAATAATTAAGCAATAGTTCGGACAGATCAGGATCATATATCTATAAGTCGAAATGGCCGTGGCCGACAGATCCAAGCCTTCTTCCATAATGCTGACTTCTAGCTCATTAGTTCTAAGAACATTTTACAAATCAACTTAATTTTGGCCTTATGGATTTGTCTTATGAAATACGACAAATTGGATAAAATGTTCCAGCAGGAGCATTCAAGGATTTTTTTTCCTAATTTACCTACATAGTGTCTACTTACAAATATATAAGACTTATATAAGAATTTTAACGTATGTACTTACAGTGAACTTGCCGGACTGAAGTAAGGCCAGCACGAGGTCACCAAGCGCAAGATGTAGTGTATTGGCACCGCAACACTGTGTCACCAGGTTTAAAGGGGCTGCCTGACCAACCAGCCACTCTTCTTCTAATGACCAGGCTGTGTCTTCTGTGTCAGAGGCACCGGATTCTTCAACTGCATTGACACACAAATTCCATATTATTTCAAGTATAATATTCATGTCTGTATTAGTCTCCGATAGAAAGAGAAAGACTTAATAATTATTATAATATTAAAAAAAACGATTTAAATAAGTGGAGGTGTATTCAAAAACAGCTTCAAACAATACAGTAATTTACTATAGCACTTTTATCCAGCCTTCGATTTGGCAAGAAGAAACCCCTAACCTCATCTCACCGAGACTAATGGAATTTGGAGAAATTTTATGTGGAATTTGGAATCGAACCGAATAAACAACACGGTGTTACTTCAGAGATGGGTCTACTGTAATAGCTTAGGTTGTGTGTATAAAGAAGAAAGTCCCTGAGATTCCCGGAGATTTTCGAAGAGTAGGCTTACTATAATTTTTTGTTACCCTTTGGTGGAAGAATAGTTAATATAGTTTTATTAAATATTACGTGATTAGTGCAGTAGTGTGTAGTAGTGTCCCGACTCCTGTCATTAAAATATAAAATTCTAAAAGTGGTTTTCTTTTCTTACTTTGTACTGCTTTATCTAATTAAATAATGAATGAACTCACCACATAAAGCATCTTTCACACTATTTATAAAATCCAACGTCTCCAAAATACTTGGTCTACTCAAAGCTTCCTTATTCTTCACCGTGGAACCAGCAGAACGAGGTCTTTCTCTCAGTTCTCTTATATTTTCTGCCGATTCTGTATAGACCAAACTCTTCAAGGTATGGTATTTTCGTCTCATTGTCTTGGTGTCTGATTGATTTGTGATAGAAATTTCTGGGAACCCACAAGAAGTAGATGGCCGGTGTCGTCTTGACCGTCTTCTAACCTTGGGCATATCAAGTGTGTTTTTGTTCAAGTCTTGGATAGAAGTGGAAGGAATAATATCTGGTTTAGTGGTTCTCCAGTAGTTGCCTGTTTTAACACTTGCGAGGATTTCATCGCTACTCTCGTGGCGAGATATTGGAATCTGTTTCGAGCTGTGTAGGAAAAAGTAAGATTACAGTAAATGATGTGGGACATGCTTGAACAGAATGTGACCTAATTAATTACGGAAGGATTTACTCGACAATTCATTTGTTTCACCCAAACACTGTTATTCCATATGAGTCCAGTTGTATGTGTTGTTGGACGCAAGGAGACGGCACAATGCCAGCACTGCGGCTCTGACTACGCCCAGGTTGGAAGCCTGCCCCGAGTGGGCGTGTGAACACGAAGTCCTGGTCTACCAAATCGGACGAAACCCGTCCCCGCCAGCAATCATTGCTGCCATGCTAGCGGGTCAGGTCGGAGCTCAGAAGTCTCTTTCTGTGAAGCTGTAATGCTTGAGAAAGAGGCCCCTGAACAGGATTGGGAGAGGGCCGATCCCGAACGTAGAGGACGTCGGCGGCGATACCAGTCGTCGACGGGGTTGCAAGCTGCCAGAGAGTGGAGACACCTCTGGTGGCAGACTATCTACTACGGTAGGCGATAGGACAGCGGCCTGGTTGCAAAAATACGATATAACAAAATGGGATAATAGGCGGGGGAAGATCAAATTGCGACATTATAATTTAAAATTACAGCTAACAAGAAAGGATTGAAAGACATGAAGGACGGTAATACATAAACATGAAATGATTTTGGGCATCCGTTTATCATCATCAACAGCCTTTACTAGTCCACTGCTGGACATAGGCCTCTCCTCATCCGTTTATAGTTTAGAACCATATGTTATTTTGTTATCGTCTTTAAATCTGCACTTAGAAGAAAAATACATTGCAAACAATACTATATCGTTCATAATTACATGTGAATTCCTCCATATTGATAGCCAACAGCCGACAATAAATCCGTTCATGATTACAGCATATATTGCGAATCATCGGAACAGATAACGGTTTACGGTTTACCCTCATCCAAGGATGACAAATAGCCCTCCTCCCCCTATTAATAAAAATGTGTGTGTGAGAGAACGAGCTGAACATTTTTGTGATTGTTAATAATGAAATATTGCATCCTGTGTAGCATTTTTGGTGCTGGGGATTTGTTCTGTGCTTTTTCTATTTGTATTTTTATGAGGAGACATTGTAGTAGATAAATCATCTGATGGTAAGTAACAACCCACTCCAATAATAATAATAATAATATATTCTACCACATACACACAACGCCATCTAGTCTTACTAGTACTTTTTTTTTTGTAAATACATACATATTATACATAGAAACACCCAGACCAAAATCAAAAATCAAATGTTCATGCACACAAATGTTTGACTTGAGCGGGAATCGAACCCGCGACCTTTGGAATAGCAGTCCGTTACACAAACCACTACGCCATCCAGTCGTCAGATTCGTCGTCGATCGTCGTCAATTGATGATTATGTCTGAATTACGACAGAATGGCTTAACGGATCCGGATGAAAATTGCTTTTGAAATCTATAACCTGCACTTTGTACTAGCACATCACATCATTATCACATGAATAGCTTTTAATAGTCCACCGCTGGACATAGGCCTCTCCTTAGAAAGGAGTTTTTGGCCTACTATACCACGCTGGCAGGATAGCTCGGTATAGGGTTTGTTTCAAGTTTTCCTTCGGGATAAATAGAGGTGGTGACACTCCGTTTTCTTAATCCGTCACCACACGCAATAACAATAACACATACAATTGTCAAATCGACATTATCACGAGCGAACATTATTGCTAGCAATAACGCTAAACTCATAATTATGGTAAATGGTATGTATATTTATATCCAAAGGTAATCAATAGCTACTAAAAGAACAAAATAGATTACGAAACAGAAAAGGAATAGAGAGAGAAGAAAAGAGAAGAAACTCGTAAAATAAAAAAGATGAATAAATAGCTACACTGATTAATTTTGTCTTTACTACTTAAGTGTCTAAATTCACGCTAAATAATATGTTCCCAAAAATATCCTTTCAAAATTTATTAGACATTAAATAATTTATTTGATACCCAGATTACCTTACTTATTTCAGTCATTTTCAGCACAAAATTGACTGTAGTTATTCGCACTAAACCCTAGCGGAACAACGTGACGGATTTATCAAGTAATCCGCAAAGCTTTTGCGAACTTTTAACGATGGCCGGTGTTCAATTTGGAACGGCCAACAGACGCTCTTGTTCATTTAAAACTTCTGGATATTTTATATTGTATTCGGTGTAAGTTAAAACTTTAAGTATGAATAGAATTTTTCTGGAAGACATTCCATACTCAATGCAAAGCAAGTACTCAATGCAAAATTACAAAGGATAACTTTACATACATTTACAGTAACAGAGGCGTTTTAAAACCTTCCATTTTGCTAACTACTAATATAATTTGGTCTCGTTCACTTTATAGTGGGAACACCCAAATAATCCGAAATCTTCCGATTATTAAGTCCGAATTTTATAATACTTAAGAATTATAATGTCTATTATAAAAATTCATGAAATTTATTTTACCGAAAGTGGTAAATGCGATGTTGATTGTGTGATGATTTGTTTACCGATTTTTATACGTTCGAAGAATCAAATGCTCGATGGGTTCGCGGTCCGAAAAACGACATTCCGATTTTCAATTCTTGAAATAAACTGCTAAATTCTAATTCAGTTAGTATTATATTGAGTTACGCATATATATTTAAAAGCATAATTCACATTTAATATAATTTAAAAACGTGTACTTTATTATTAACATTTGTGTATTAATTTCCTTTTTTGTTTTCTTCTCCTTATATACATCCGCATCAAATACCATCTACTGTTATTGAATTATTTAGGTTAGGTTCCGAGCGCCAGATCCCCTCTAGTGTTGGTGAATAATTTGGGTAAAGTTAGGTTACAACTGTGACCAGCGAAAGTAAGGCAGTAGTATTTTTATTTAAAAAAAAAATAGAAAGAATTCAAACTTTTGAATTTTCAAATTATCATAAAGTCGGACTTTTCGTTATTCGATCCATCGAAACTCGGTATTTTAAGCATAGTAATTATAAACGTTAGGAATATTGAAATTTTTGAATTATAATAATATAAATAGGATGAATGATCAATCGGAGTTGTTATATTAGGAATTTTTAACCATCCGGAATTTTGAAAATCGGTATTTTGAAATTCGTATTTGTGACTGACGGAATAAAGTTTTTCGTATTTGTGTATTGTACCCTTAATAGTCGGCAAACTTATTGTCAACCAAGCACTGTGGGAATTGTAGGTTTCCCATCCACAATTAGGAGCATTTTGAATAAAAAGATAGTTGAAAAGGGAAAAAGGAAAGAAACACTGCTTACCCTGGACACAACATTCTTAAGCTGAGCTTCTAGAACTTTTCAAATATATGTCAACATACAAATTAAAAACAAAAAATTATGATAGTCATTAAATTACCGATCCTCTCAAAAGCATCAGTTTTGCACGAAACAGTTTAAAGTTTATCGGAAGCTATCATGTCTGTGCTGGCGTACTGCCAAGGCTTCAAGCGATGCAATATTCTGTGTGCCACCGGAGCTGACCTCAAAATGCTACCGCAAGCAGGTAAAATAGAAAATATACAATAAAGAAATAAAAACATTATAGAAGAAGCTATACTAATATCACAAAGTTAAAGGGTTGGTTTATTTAACGCACTAATCCTTAGCCGGGAGCGGCCTTTACAAGCCAGAATTGAAAATATTTTCTTTTCGTTTCAAAGCCGAGGTCTTATGAAGGTTTTTGGCAATGGAACGTAATGCTATAATAGTTATAATGCCAACAATATAGTATAATGACAATGACTAGTAGACTGACAAGAGCGAATATTTCGTCATGAATATTTTTGTATATATTATATGTAATAATCTCAGACATTAAAAAAATTATGTTCCGATAAAAAATTCAAGACATCTCACATACTGCCATCTGATCCCAAAGTAGACAGAGCCTACACTATAGCGACCCGACTACTGATCCATTGGCATATGCAATTTCTCTATCCTACCATTTCCAGCCATTCTTTTCTAACTTTTCCTTCAACATATATACTCCTGTGGCAATTTCTACACACCGTGTAACAAAATCATACTACAGCGCCATCTATTGAAGATACAGTGAACTACAGAGTAACTCCTAATCCTGTATTGCGATATGAGTAAACCGACGCCGATTAGCACATAATTCCAAGATAGTTGGTATTTAACAAAACCACTATCGTTTATACCCTATCATAAATGCACCTACCTCATTCTTTCTCAGCACCGCCCAATCGGTCGACTGGCAGAGAATGCCTTAGGCATTAAGTCCGCCGATGCATGTACTTGTGCAAAAAGTTAAAAATAAAATAATAAATAAATATATACAACTTTCCAATATCAACAGTTGGGCCGCGGTCTGCCAGGCATGATCACCTCGCCTGGTCGTAGGATCCTCCCTTTGTGTTAGAGGGATATGACACCCGTTTCTCCCTACTCTCAGCTACCGTTTACTACGCCTCTACTAACCTGTGATATAGTCATAAGTATATTTTAGAGTGACACATACCGTCTGTCACCAACAAGGGCATTAGCGAACGCTCCCAGCACACATCTCTTCGCCAGCCTCAACTTTGCTTCTGCTTTGTCCCGTCTACTAAGAGTGAGGGTTCTAGCTGAACTGTGTTCTCTACGTGAAGGTAGCTTGACAGGGTAGGAGATTGCCATCCCGTCACTGGTTGGAAATACTAGGCGGAAATCTGGAACAACATTATTTTAATTTACTTTTATGTTGAGAAAAAATCCTAGTCAATCAGCTTAAAACTAATTTAAGAGATTTCCAAAATTAAATTATTAAACGTACACACATACATAAGCTCACGTCTATATTCCGAATAGGCAGACAAAGAATATCATGAATGATTATTGCACACATTTTACAGGCTATAATTTTAATTCCACTTACGTGAACGTATTGTCATCAACGGGGCCCTTTAGGAATAAATGGGAAAATTGGGAGTGTTTTGGAAAGGATAGATAAGTAAGGAGGAACTACTCTTCCTCCGAGCCTTTTTCCCACACTATGTTGGGGTCGGCTTTAAGTCGACTACGACACGCGACGGCCATCAGACCTCCACAATCCTAGGACTAGGCGATATCGAAGTGCTGTAGAATTTTTATTTTTTAGATTTCCAACTACCCGTAACGATTGATTTGACTGCAACGATTGATTTGGCGTAGTGGTTTAAGCGGTCGCCACGCCGCTTCCTACTACGTCGAGTGTTGTGGGTTCAAACCCCACATGGGACGACACTTTGTGTGATCCACAAATTGTTGTTCTGAGTCTGGGTGTTCTTTGTGTCCCGCGCGACACAGAATATATTCTTAATGCGGGAGTTGTCTTTTAAAAAAAAAAGAAAAAAAAAAAAGAAATTGCGAAAAATTAACGTGTCTCCGAGGCAAGGGGGGTCTTAATGTTTAAATAATGGTCACCCATCCATACACTGACCTAGGTAGGATTGCGTAACTTTGCAAACTACCTGGTTACATCTTAGCCACGAGCTCTTCTTAAGGAGGAATGATAATGGTAGGAACCAGATATTATTTATATGGATGGATTGATAATTCGAGAAGATCAGGGTCGCAGTTGTGTAACTCCAGTTGGCTTGTTGTTGAAGATACCGAAACCTCTAACGTATATTATTAAATGGTCTACAGTTATTGATGTATAAGTGTTAAACTACAGGTTTGAAGGTGTTATCATAATACTCGTATGTCCTAAGTCGTACATTACTGAGAGATTTTATAACTATTGATGGCATTTCATTAAACAACAACCATTTTTATTAAACTCTAAAAAGCTTTAAAGCAGTATGGTATTAATTAAGTGAAAGCCATTTGACAGCCATTAAATTAGCGTATTCTGGATGTAGTGAAAATTTCATTAAAAAACATGCCACGCCGCTTCCTACTACGCTGAGTGTTGTGGGTTCGATCCCTACATGGGACGACAATTTGTGTGATCCATAACTTGTTGTTCTGAGTATGGGTGTTCTTTGTGTCCATTTCATGTATGTTTGTAAAGTTCGCTGCGACACAGGATATATTCTTAATGCTGGAGTTGTCTTTTAAAAATAAAAAGTAATAACTTGGTAATTATTGATTACTTTCAGCCCACAGTATTAAGGAGTCTCAAACATAAGTTTTGAAAGCAAGGAAAGGCAATTTCGTATTCGTTTTCCCTGTACAAAAATATAATAAAAATAGCTTTATAAATCTTACACACGCCATTCTAATCATAACATAAACTAGGCAGGACCAGTGCGAACCAGACTGCTGATAAACGTAGCACAAATACTTCTAAATACATTCATAAATTACAACAGACACAGAACAAATGATTATTGCTCATCGTACAATAATTTGTCCTGGGTGGGATCAAGCTCACGAGCTCTCGCTTAGCACGCAGGGTAGTTATCATCTAAACTAACAGGTCCGTCTTATATAGAAAGAAAGAAAGAAAGAAGGAAACATATATATTTAGCTTAATATGATTTTAAAATTCTACAATAAATTTACTTATTTTTTTATTTATTTATTAGTATATGTATGGAGATAGATTATAAAGATAAATAAGGAAATTATATGGAGTCGCTATTAATTAGGTGACATACATAGTTGTGTGGATGTGGTTCTCGGCGGAGTAGAATAAGGCCAACCCATCTCTTCCCGTGGGTGTCGTAAAAGGCGACTGAGGGAATCTTTGGACTGTTTATCATCAGACAGTATATATACAGTTCGTGCGGTACTTGTCCTGGTGGCCTCTCCAACCGCTGGATATTGGTACATACCGCAGTCTAAGTCCTGTCTCCCATCCTAGTACTGCGGTATTCCCCCACCCTAATTTTCCTCTCTCATCCAATCCCCTCACCCCTGATGTTTCCTTTTTTCCCTTCCCTATCGTATACACGACTACATTCCCAAGGAGGGTTGGCGACAGGCAGGCGGCCGGCCATAAAAATTAATTAGCCAAAACCACTATAATGCAGTATAAGTATGATGGAAATTGAGTGCGACAGTGCTAGGGCGTACCCCGTAGGCGACGCGCGGCAGCAGCACCCGGCTACGCGAATAAGTGGACAAGGGTTGTTGCACCACCCGAGGCGGGTGCAACGTAAGAAGCAAGCCCGAGAGGTGAGGATGAGGTATGCAAGTTGGAATGTAGGGACTATGACTGGAAGAGCGAGAGAGCTAGCAGATGTGTTGAAAAGAAGAAGAATAAACGTGGCATGCTTGCAAGAAACAAAATGGAAGGGTACGAAAGCAAGAGAGATAGGAGAGGGGTACAAGTTTTATTACTGCGGAAGTGATGGGAAGAGAAATGGAGTGGGCGTAGTATTGGATAGTGCCCTGAAAGAGTGTGTGACGGATGTAAAGAGAGTGAACGATAGAATAATAGTATTAAAATTAGTATGGGAGAGCGTAATTATGAATATTGTTAGCGTGTATGCACCTCAAGCTGGATGCAAGGATGAAGTGAAAGAAAAATTTTGGGCCGATTTTGACATGGTTTTGATAGGTATCCCTGAAAGTGAAGAACTTTTGATAGGTGGAGATTTTAATGGTCATGTGGGAACAACGAATGAGGATTATGAAAGAGTACATGGAGGAAGGGGGTTCGGAAATAGAAACATTGATGGTGAGTCTCTGCTCCAGTTTTCCTCTTCGTTTGACCTGGCAATAGTTAACACATGGTTCCAAAAACGTCACGAACATCTGATCACGTATAAAAGTGGTAGCCACGCGACACAGATCGACTACTTTCTCATAAAAAGAAGTAAGTTGGTTTGTGTCCCAGACTGCAAAGTGGTGCCCGGGGAACCCGTAGTATCGCAACATAGATTGCTAGTAATGGAGGTCAAATGGAAGAGTTTGAGTAAGAGTAGGAAGAACCGACCTTCTCCAAAAATCAGGTGGCGAATGTTAGAGAAAGAAGAGTATGCAAGTAACTTTAAGGTAAAGGTGGTAGAAAAAATGATTGAAATGAATGCAAGGCTAGATAAGTCTGTGGATGGATGGTGGAGTGAAATGGCAAATTATATACGAAAGATAGCGAGAGAAGTACTTGGGGAAACAAAAGGAAAAGGCATTATTGAAAGAGAGACATGGTGGTGGAGTGATGAGGTACAGAAAGCTCTAAAAGAAAAGAAGGATGCCTTTAAAGCGTGGAAAAATGAAAAGGTCTGTGAGAGAATGAAGGAAGTCAAAATGAATGAATATAAAGAGTAGAAGAAAAAGGCAAAAAAAGCGGTAGCGGTAGCCAGAGCTAAAGCTCAATATAACATATTTAAACACCTACATGAACCTAGCGGTCAAAAAGAACTCTACCGCATTACAAAGAACAGGGAAGAAAGAGCAAAAGACCTGAAGCATGTGAGATGTATAAAAGATGAAGAGGGGAGAGTGTTGGTTAAAGATGAAGATATAAAAAAGCGATGGAAATCTTACTTTGAAAAACTTATGAATGAAGAGAATAAATGGAGCGGAGTGCTAAAGCATGTGGCTGTGAATGTTGGACTGGTGAACGAGATTAGTATAGATGAAGTTAGATTGGCAGTACGAAGTATGAAAAATGGAAAAGCAGTTGGCCCCGACGGTATACCAGTGGAAGTTTGGAAGCTACTGAAAGAAGACGGATATAAGTGGCTGACTCTATTCTTCAATATGTTGTTGCTTGAAGAGGTAATCCCAAAGGAATGGTGTCAAACCCAACTCGTACCCATTTTCAAAAACAAAGGAGATGTTCAGGAATGCAACAACTATCGAGGAATAAAGCTCATGTCACATACTATGAAAGTCTGGGAGAAAGTGATTGAGAGAAGAATAAGAGATGAGAGTCAGATAACCCAAAGTCAATTTGGGTTTATGCCAGGACGCGGGACAACAGATGCTATATTTGCAATGCGCCAACTATGTGAGAAATACAGGAGTGCGCACAAAAACTTGCATATAGTGTTTGTGGATCTCGAAAAGGCATATGATAGGGTACCCCGAGAGGTTTTGTGGTGGGCTTTGAAAGAAGAAAGAGTGCCTGTTAAGTATGTAGAATTGATTCGTGCTATGTACAGAGAGTCTAGCACTCATGTAAGGTCGGTCACGGGAAACACTGATCAATTCAGTGTCTCTGTAGGCTTGCACCAGGGATCAGCTCTGAGCCCATACCTCTTCCTGTTGATAATGGATGCTCTGACATCGGACATACAGGAGGAGGCACCTTGGTGCATGCTATTTGCAGATGACATTGTGTTGGTCGGTGAGGATGGGGTTGAGGTCCAGAGCAGACTGGAAAAATGGCAACAAAGGCTGGAGAATGTTGGCTTGAAAATCAGCAGAACCAAAACTGAGTACATGTTCTGCGATTTCGGCGGTCTCTCCAGTCCTGAAACCATTTCGCTGGATGGGATAGCGATAACAGTCTGCTCCAATTTCAAGTACCTCGGCTCCCTCTTACAATGTGATGGTGAGATTGATCGAACTGTACAGCATCGAATCAATACGGGATGGATGAAGTGGCGGCAGGTAACGGGAACAACTTGTGACCCCAGTTTCCCCTTAAAACTGAAGGGACAAATTTATAAAACTATTATCAGACCTGCCGTACTGTATGGTTCTGAAAGTTGGCCCATTAAGAGAACGGATGAGAGACGCCTGAACGTAGCCGAAATGCGAATGCTGAGATGGATGTGTGGTGTGACTCAGATGGACAAGGTTAGGAATGAGTATATACGAGGGAGTCTGAAAGTAGCGCCACTGGATGAAAAGTTAAGAAGTAATAGGTTATCTTGGTATGGACATGTCATGCGGAGGGATGAGGAAAATGTGGCGAAGAAAGTTTTAGGTATGAGAGTTGAAGGGTATAAGAGAAGAGGCAGACCAAAGAAAAGGTGGATGGACTGCGTGAGGGAGGATATGGCTAGCAAGGGAGTAAACAGTGAGATGACGCATGACAGAGTAGAATGGAAAAATCATACATACTGCGCCGACCCCAAATAAAATTGGGAAAAGGGTAGGCAGATGATGATGATGATGACATAGTTGTAACTAAACAACGCGCGTGTAGTGTGTACTCGTAACAGAGATCGTTATTAAAATACAACGTATCTAAAAACCGAACGAAATTTTCAGTATAATCGATAACTTTTCTAAGCCTACACATTATCCGTTTTGTTTTAATTCTCTTCGAGAGAACATTATTTCAGACGTCTGCTAAGTTTATCATTGTCGGATGACCTCAATGGTGAGCTTTTGCGCGCCATTTAACACAACCACGTCGTTTAACCCATCTTGTATAACACATATACCCTTAATAACCGTGTCTTTTTACAAGTTACTACGGTAATACGGAGCAATGTTAGCGAACTATAGTGAAATAGATCGGTATTATTGTTATAAATGTGTCTTAATTATTTATTTGGTATACTGGTAATTTACAAGGGCCCCAATTCTGCTATTTAAATAGTGTATTAATAGGCTATCGATGGACTGTCATCGGCATAGCGTTGCACTTATAATATTCTACTAACTATGTAAGATCAATCCCGATGACTTGTCACTGAACTGCTACTCACACAAATGTCGTCGATGTTTTTGTAATAGTTTTCAATTCATTTTAAATTTGTGAGGAAATGACATATTTAATTTTAAAGATATGGCAATATTGTTGAAATCATCTTTGGGTAGCTATTGTCACTACATCAACAGTCTATTGACACTGTGAGTTTATGTTAGTAGAATACCGATATTTTAACCGATGTCAATGGCATATCTATAGTGTTTCAATAGAATAACAGTGGCTTGTACGTTAACACAGAATAGCAGACTTGAGACCATGACAGATTATCTGATGGTAAACTCCAACTTAAATATTTTGTATTGAGTAGCACTTTCAAATAAAGCAACTCCGCCCGTGGACAGCGACAACTCAAAACTCACAAGTGCTTTGCCGGCCTAAATCAAGGAAAGGAGGGAAATAATGGAAAGGAGAGAGGGAAAGGAAATCCCAAATATGTCAAAGTACAGTTCTCCCACGGCTAGTGAGAGACTCATGTTTTGGTCAAGGCTCAATTTGTGGGTAAAAAATCATCTATTACCCAAAATTGACATCTTTGAAGATGGCATAAGGAGCATACAGGTACAGTGAGCATCTTTAAATACGAGTGTTACATCTAAACTCAGTTCACACCTGTTAGCAAGAACTAAGAGGAGACACTTTAGGGTTCTACAATTAATAAGAAAAGGTATAATCTTTAAATAACAGTCTGCACAAAAACTATGTTTTGTCACAACGAGATGGGCCAAAAAATATATCATGAAATCACAATACTACGATTTACAAATGAAATCATAAACATTACCAATGCTTTTCCAGCAGTTAGATAGCAGCTTTGAACAAAAGTAACTCAGAACTGTTTCCGCGATATCCACAACTTAGTGGGATTTGCAAGTCGCTCCGCTTTACAACTTCAACAACGATATTAATCACTGAAAATGGCTTGATTCTTATTTTTCTTCTCGACATATAAAATTTATTATTTATTTATTTATTTATTTATTATTTCACATTATTTATATATTTAACATTCTAAAATTTATTTCATCATCATCAACAGCCTTAAATAGTCCACTAGTGGACATAGGCCTCTTCTTAGAAAGGAGGTTTTGGCGTACTGTAGCACGCTGGTCAGACGGGTTGATATATGGTTTGTGTCAAGTTTTCCTTCTCTTTGCAGTGCTGTTGTCCTGTCTAGTTTGCTCTCTTAGTCGGCTCTTACAATACCCACGGGATGAATAGCGATGGTGACACTTCGTATTCTTAATCCTTCACCTCACAGACCCAACCCGTCACCATCATCAGCCTGTAATAGTCCACTGCTGAACATAGGCCTCTCCTTAGAAAGGAGGTTTTGGCCTACTATACCACGCTGGCCAGACGGGTTGGTATAGGGTTTGTGACAAGTTTTCCTTCTTTTTGCAGAACTGGTGTCCTGCGTTGTTTTGTACACTTAGTCGACTCTTACGACACCCACGGGATGAATAGGGGTAGTGACATTCCGTATTCTTAATCCGTCACTACACGAGCCCGAAAATGTATGTAGGGTCACTGCAATGAGTTTTCTACATCCACTTTCCTTGATCACTCGACATCCTCTTACATGAACTCCTTGATTTCATTACATTTCATATTTATTGAATTCATTTTTATAATTTGTGACAAATATTGACTTTAAATAAAAATATATCGAAACTTGAGATCTACAATAAGTAACAAACATGATATATTAGGCAAATTTTTGAGTCAAACTGTATTGTGTTACCAATATCCAACTTTGGCTAATGTCTGATCCATAAATTGGGTCAATACTAACTCTCGTTACATAACAATTAGGTTAATTTTGATTTTGTCTTCTTTTCTTTTCTTAACCAGACAAATCCCGCATTAGGAATGTAACCTGTATCGCGGGGGACTTCAAACATACATGAAAAGGACACAAAGAACACCAAGACTCAGAACAACAATTTGTAGATGATACAAAGTGTCGTCCCATGTGGGGATCGAACACACAACACTCAGCGTAGTAGGAAGTGGCGTGGCGACCGCCTAAACCATTAGGTTTGTCCCCTATTACGTAAGTAGAACTAAAATTATATTTACCTAAATGTGTGCGTATAAAATGCATCTGTCAACCCTTTTGGGAACATAAACGTGAGTATAACAAAGACATATCTAGTAACTTTAAACGTTTGAACTACAGTTTCAACTGGTATTAACTTTTGACCAGCGAACTCTGACCTCTGCGCTACCGATAATGAACTCCAACCACAAGGGTATCAATAGCTCAGAAACACTGGTGTTATTAAAAATGTAAACGTATTCAAAATGATCGTGAAATTTTGATCCCCGGGATTGTGATGTGAAATAGTACTTTATTGTGTGGAGTTTAGAGTTACATTAAACTCGTTCGTTAGTGTCAAATTATTACGTATTTTGGTTGCATACTCAATATCCCTAAAGTATGTAATGAATGTTAATTTTTCAATTGGGTGTCTTTTTAGTAGACTCGCTACACCGAAGGCCGTTGTTGATCAGAACTATTGACTAACGACTAGTCTTTTTAGGGTTCCGTACCTCAAAAGGTAAAAAAGGAATCCTTATAAGATCACTTTCCTGTCCGTCTGTCCGTGTGTCACACCGATTTTCTCAGGAACGGGTAGACCTAGCAAGTTGAAATTTATACGAGATGCTGAAGTCTACGCTCCCTATTAGGTGTTTAAAAATCAAGGTCCTGAGTCAACACTATAAAAAGATATGGGCAAATTAAGGTAAATTTTGGTACTTACAAATTTTTGCGAAAATCTAACTAAAATCTGGGTAGGTACGGAACCCAAGGCGCACGAGTTCGACTCGTACCTGACCGGTTTTTTAGTAGGGTCTACCGTCTCGTTGCTCGCTAAACGCCTGCCCCAAATCTTTCACAATGTTGTTTTTGACTAGGCCTATTAAATAGAATCTGATTCAGCATTTGATGAGTATATACCTGTTGCTGGTTTTTAAACTAGAATTTTTTTTTTGTTAAATGCGTTTCGAAATTGGCTACTTTCAATTTTTACTCTCTTAAAACTTCAGGTTCTTACCAACCCTTAACAAATTAATCACCCTAAACACAAATTTAGGATACTTTACTAATTATAATCGTAGTTAGCTATCTAAAATACTTACCAATGTGCCGATAACGATCGACAAAATCCACTAAAGCCTTAGCCCACGCAGACCTCTTGGCAGCATCAAGCAACCCTAAACATACATCAACAGTACCATCATGGACCCCCAGACAATACTCCTTCAGCCCATCAAATTCTTTAACACACTTTTTCCCATCAAAATCGTCCAAAAACCAGGAATTCTCGTTAGAAGTGGCAAAAAGACTATCCAAGTAAGGTTTTAAGACGGGTCCGAGGTATTTTTTATCATCTTTAACGCCTTTATAGAGCCAATTGAGGATGTTCTTCATCATAACCATGTGGTCTTTTAGGTCTTCTCGTCGAAGTTCAGGATCCCGACGGACTGCGTCAATCAGACAGGCCGATGAAGCATCGTAGTAGTCTTTCAGTTTGTTCCACTTTTTTGATCTGTGGAAGTATATCTTAATATATACAGCAAAATTTGGTTTGGTAAACCTTTTATAACTCAGGAACGGCTGGACCAATTTTCATAATCTTTGATAAGAAAAAGTAGGATTTGTCTCTGCTCTGAATTACAGTATCAACTACTAGTAACTCTAAAAATTAGTCGGGCCGTTCTTGAGTTATAGGTAGTGTAAATAACCCAACTTTAATTTTTTTCTTTCAAAAAGTAAATTTAAAAAAAAAGCTAGATCTATAAAAATAAATTTGTTTATATTTTGTTTTTTTCATACTATGTATTTTTACTCACCACGTGTAGTGACGGATTAAGAATGCGGAATGTCACTACCCCAATTCATCCCATGGGTGTCGTAAGAGCCGACTAAGGGCGCAAAACAACACAGGCAAAAAGAAGGAAAACTTGACACAAATCCTATACCAACCCGTCTGGCCAGCGTGGTATAGTAGGGCAAAACCTCCTTTCTAAGGAGAGGCCTATGTCCAGCAGTGGATTAATAAAGGCTGTTGATGATGATTGATGATGATGACGTGACGAAAAAGTGGTGAAGGACCACCCTTCTGAAGTTAAACTAACCGCAAGTATTCTGCTGGTTATCTCACTATTAGTAAGTCCGGCTAATACTAACTCACCTGTAAGCCGACAGCTCTCTATCAAACTCTCCCATACTCCTGTTTTGAAAGTTATTCAAATACAAATCTCTAGCCTGGTCGAGAATAATGGCCAGAAGATGAATGAGATCTTCAATGGATTCTTCATTAAAGGAAGTTGCTTGAATGAGATTCGCACGAAAAGTGCTGTGGTTCTCCTAAAAATAGGATAAAATTATAGTTTTTTAGCTTTTCCTTCTTTTTTCTAATTAACCCCCTAATTATGTAACTTACTAATTTTTATAATAATAAATAAATATTTAAGTCTGTTTATTGGCAGTCTGGCATTTTGTTAATTAGGATTTAGTCCCGCACGTGGAGGAGTAGAACCATTTATCCTTTCATAAGTTTGAATGTCACTTAGAGAGGGCAGACGAGCAGACGGGTCACCTGATGAAAAGTGACTATCGCCGCCCATAAACGTCTGCAACTCATCATCATCATCATCATCATCAACAGCCTTTAACAGTCCACTGCTGGACATAGGCCTCTCCTTAGAAAGGAGGTTTTCAAGGAGGTTTTTTTTTTTAGGTTCCTGCAACTCAGGAGTCACAAACGCGTTGTCGGCCTTTTAGGCAGGAGTACGCTCTTTTCTTGAAGGTTTGAAAGAAAATTTTGCCATGTGGAACGATGAAAAGTTGCGGCTGGTATTAGTCCGAACAATTCCTCGGAGCACTCTCCAAGTCCTCCAAGTCCGTGTGGTGACGGATTAAGAATACAAATTGTCACCACCAAAATTCATACCGTGGGTGTCGTAAGAGCCGACTAAGGGAGCAAACTAAGCAGGACAACAGCACTGCAAAGAGAAGGAAAACTTGAAACAAACCCTATACCAACCCGTCTGGCCAGCGTGGTATAGTAGGCCTAAACCTCCTTTCTAAGGAGAGGCCTATGTCCAGCAGTGGACTAGTATAGGCTGTTGATGATATTGATGACTCTCCATGATATATGCGATAGAGAATGCAGAGTGAAGCCACATCTCTACGTAACGCCAAGAGATCGAGCCAATCGGAGATGTTTGGACATGGACATCATAAAAGATATAACAATTTTCTGTTCAGAACAAAATTCCCCACGTGTTATAACTTCCTCTAATTTCACGAGAATTCTTAAATATTAACTAGTAACATTTCATTCCTTCATATCACTGCTCCTCGGGGTTTTATTACAAGTTTCTTCCCAGAATGATACTACTAGAAAAAATACCTAGCTATTAAATGATTAACATAATCTCTGAAATTTTACAGTGCTAGAACTGAATGTATTCGATATTTCCGACGATGCCTTGAAATTCATCTCGCATGCCAAACGTACCACTTAACGCTGCACTTTGCAGATATGTAAATGCTTACTGAATTTCAAGTAGCTCTGAATATTCCTAGGATTGAGGTCACGAATTGAAAACAAGTCTATTATCTTTGGCTGAATGCTTTTCAAATTATAACTGAATATTTAAAGTTGCCCGTGTGGTGACGATTTAAGAATACGGCGTGTCACCACCCTTATTCATAAGTCTCGTGAGAGACGTAAGAGATAAACTACGCAGGACAACAGCACTACAAAGAGAAGGAAAACTTGAAACAAACGGTATACCAAACCGTCTGGCCAGCGTGGTATAGTAGACCAAACATCTCATAGACGGCCGCCTGATTTCAAAAATAAAGAGACTGTAATTATGGTAACCAGACTGCCAATAAACATACTTAAATATTTCTAAATACACACATATTATGGATAAATACCCAGATACAGAACAAATGATACTGCTATTCAGACAATTATTTGTTCTGGGTGGGTATCGAACCCACAACCTCTGTCTTAGCAGTCACTAACCACTAGACCAACAGACCTGTCATAAGCCCTATTAATTGTGTTATTTCCCGTTTTGTAGACATCTTCATCATCATTATGTAGAATGCTACCACATAGTTCTTATTTTAAATCAGCTTATGCCCGCGACTTTGTTCGCGTGGTGGTCATTATTTTTGATAGAGAAAAAAAAATAGTTTCCATACAAACTTGCATCCCTTTTTAAGGGTAGTTTTGAAAATTAATAACAAGAGTGTTTACTGTGAGTTTGAAAACACTACAACTAAAAAAAAAAATCGGTTGTCTGTAAAGTCGGTTTACTGACGATAGTTGAACGTGACAACGTCATAAGAAAATACTAATGGAATGGTTGCATTTTTCAAAAGAAAAATTTAATTTTATATGTTAGACAGATGTCGAACGCTGCCGAACGCGGAGGCCGATTGTGCCTCTTTGTCGCTCGTTCCGCGCTCTTGCTTGCACTTCAAGCCTTAAATGGAACGCCTCAGAGCGAGGTAACGCCGCATGAGTCATGTTTTTTAGTGCGTGCAGCCGGCTCCATCGAATTATAAGACGTTGTCACGTCAAAAGAAGTTTCATATAAATTTCCAACCCCTACTTGGGGTTACACCCCTACTAAGGGGTACCCTAAGCTTAGGGGTAGAATTTTCAAAAATCCCTTCTTAGTTACCCACGTCACCAAAGGAACAGTTGTGTAAAATTTCATTTTTCTACACCCAGCGGTTTCAGCTGTGCGTTGGTCGTCAGTCAATGAATCAATCTGTCAGTTTCTTCTTTTATAGATATAGATTAAAGTGAAAATTGTTTTCAAAGTTATTTATGGCAGAACTATCTCTCTCTCTCTCTCTCTCTCTCTCTCTCTCTCTCTCTCCCTCTCTAAACTTTACAACTTTACTTTCAACAACATAACTAACATGTGTACTCATACTCTTGCACGTGAGCAATTCGCTAGCAACTCGCCACAGGTACCGGATTTGTCTCCTGGAGTATATCGGAGGCGAACCGGCTGAAGCCTTCGCTTCTCTGTTCAGGTTCTCCCACCGACTAAACAAGGCTGTTTCTAAGGCGTCAGATGGAGAAGGAGGGATGTCTTCAGCTGTTGAAGGAAGCGTTTTGGGAAATGTTAAGTCCTGTACTATTAAACATGAAGATCAGATATTCAAAAAAAATTTGGATTTTCTTTTTACCAAAAACTAACATTGGAGACTTTTGAGTCTGATCAAGTTAGCATCTGAGCTATATATGCAAAAGTTATTTAGCAATACGTAATTGGCCTGAAAATACTATTATTTTATGTTTGCCTTAAAATAGTTTTTTTTTTTATGGTATAAGGGGGCAAAAGTGCAGACAGGTCACCTGATGATAAACAACTACCGCCGCCCATGGACACCTTTTTTTTTTTTTTCCGTGCGGTAATCCCCTCGGATACCACCTATCGGTGGCATGTCGGACTCGAACCGACTAAAACAGCACGCCGTCGCGGGTACTACTAGCCGGGGAACCAGGTATACCGCCCATGGACACCTGCAACTCAAGTCACAAGCGTGTTGCCGCCCTTGGAGTCTCTCCCGCTCGAGTCAGCGGGAGGGGGGATTTGGGCATCGGTAACCTCCCTCACTCACTCAGTGTAAGGCAACGAAAAAATTGCTTAACACCAGTTTTCTGCGAGGCCGTGAAATTGCCTGATTGAAAAGATAATATATATTCATCATCATCATCAACAGCCTTTAACAGTCCACTGCTGGACATAAGCCTCTCCTTAGAAAGGAGGTTAGGAGGTAATATATATTATAAGTTGATTTATACATTCATGACGTTTGAATCACCTGTGACGTGATGCAGTTGCTGGAGGCAGCTTTTAACACAAGCAGCGTCGAACAGCCAGTCCGCGTCCCTCGCCCCCCGCCGCACTACCGCGCCCCTCTCCACTGGGTACACATATCCCGCTACGCCACCTCGTTCGCATAGTAAATACAACCTAGGAATAAGATAAATCCTTTTAAAAAAAGTTTAACCGACTTCCAACAAAACTAACAAAGAGCACTAAAAACCTGGCTAGCAGCAATGGCGATTGATTTGCTGTCATTTTTTGAAACCTCCTTTCTAAGGAGAGGCTTATGTCCAACAGTGGACTGTTAAAGGCTGTTCATGTGAAATTTAAATGGGACTATTTTGGAATAAACCTAATACGTAAAAAATAACAAAAAAGGATTTAAAAAACCGGCTATATTTGACGGAGTTATGCCCGAACATATATAAAAAATATATAAACATCCGAATTGATAACCTTACAGTAATCGCATATGAAGTGACACATGAACATCTGACATCTCCCGGCTAACTAGGACCCTTGGTTCTTTCTTTGCTTTTCACGGAGTGAGTGAAGTTACGTCGCCTAAAGAGAGGAAAATATATTGAGACGGAGCCCGCACCAGGAGCGGGCTGGCGCTAGGAGGGGTCCGGATGTCTTAACAACAGCTGTTCCCGGATCCCTCCTGTTACAGGCGCAGAGTGGCACACCGTGTGGTTTTAGTCGGTCCGAGTCCGACACACCACCCCGCCGCAAACCCCGGAGGGGTGACGGTCCGAGGGGATTTCCACACGTTAAAAAAAAAAAAAAAAAAAGGTACAACCCTCCCTACCCTTTAAAAGCCTGCCGCCCCCTCTCTCCCAGGGTTAGGAGAGGCGAGGGACCTCTCAAAGGGCGATATCTTACTTGTTTCTCTTGAGTTGCAGGTGTCCATAGCTGTTGGCAGTCACTTACCATCCGGTGAACCATCTGTTGATTTGCTCCTATGCCGTACAAAAAAAAACAGTGGCACCCCGGGAAACTCGACAGAAGTGGAAACTTATATATAGAGGTGTCGATAACGGTAACGGTAAAAGTGTCGTGAGTGGAATTGTTTTTTCCCATCTTAAAAAATCCCAACGTGCCTAAAGAAGTTTTCACTTCAACAGAGGTGTCGGTAACGGTAAGAGTGTCGCGAGTTTAATGTTTTTTTCCCATAAAATACACTTTTGTTTGTTGTTCAAAAATGCCCAACTTGCCTAAAGAAGATTTCACTTTAAAACTTAAAAAATTGTCGCCCTTAAAGTGCCTCCTAAGAATCAGGAGGAGGTTGAAACCCCAATCCTGTGTGACCTCTATGGTAGAAAACAGTGTAACTAAACTCACGAGTCCAACACGAGCAGTAGATGGTGCGAGGCGTGTGCGGCCACGCAGCACCGTGCGGCGGAGTGCAGGGAGGCGCCCGCTCGGTCCAGCCGCCGGCGCACGCTGCACATCGCCGCGTAACGACTCAGCACGCGGAGAGTACCCTGACAACCAGCATTTTCAATTTCTTTATGAGTCAAGAAAACACATTCTTTATGAGATGCCTACACAAAAATTACATCTGGCGCTCCACTACTATGGGTTTTTCAAGACTCTTTTTGCCTCGCACAAGCAATCTGTGGAACAAGTTATCGTCTGCGGTATTTCAGGCCCGATACGACTTTCAAACCTTCAAGAAAATAGCGCACTCCTTCCTCAAACGCCGGCAACGCGCTTGTGACTCCTGAGCTGCATGGGTGGCGGTAATCGCTTTCTATCCGGTGACCCATCTGCTCGATTGCCCCCTCTTCCATATTAAAAATCTTCAATAATTCTTGGATCTTGCAGAATTCAATTGGAACTGCTAATTCCATAATAACTGCTCAGCTCAAGAACCTAAAATCTAAAGAAGATCGCGATCAATATGGTACTTACGACGTAATGTTGGGTCCCATTATATGAATAGTCAAAAGCCTACGGGACACCTTCAATAGAGAACTGTAGTTAACCATGCACCAACGGATATGATTGACAGTCTCGAGCTCAGAGAGCTAGCTAGTAAGTTTTTTTCTCCATTTACCTGATAAACTCCTTCCCTCATTTTATCTATTAAAGCGTTAAGCGCAGCTGCTACTCTTGCCACATGAGATAGATCAGAGCAGTGCGAATCCAACTCTGCTTCCAAGGACGGGTGCCATAGCTGCCAGGTAGACGTACGATCTCCACACACCATGGAGGATGGGGGGCCGACAGCCGCTGCGTAGTAACCCTAAAGAAGAGTAATACATTACATACATTTCATATCCTCCCCTCCATATTAAATTACGCTCATCTAAATATTCTTGAATCACAGACGCAGTACGTGTTCATTTATACTAGAGATCACTAATGGTCGAATTTCGACCGTTTAAATGTTTTGCTTAAATTAACCGGTATAACTTGAACTGGCATTGTATACATTGGACTCCTGTGGTTGTATGTAGCCGTTTGTACATACTTTTTAAACTGTATGTTTTCTGCAAATAAACATTATATTCCATAGTATTCCATATATATTTCTAAGGAGAGGCCTAAGTCCAACAGTGGACTGTTAAAGGCTGTTGATGTGATGTGTGTGATATGCGTGCCATATTTTTTTAAAAGGGATACAAAAAAGGTTTTTCACGTAATAATAAAAGTACTCGTATATGCATACATTTCCAACCTTTTATATACCAATTCGTAATCAAACAATATCAAGATTCAGCCAGATGTAACAACGCTATCAAGGTGTAAATGCGTTTTAAATAACTTATAAATTGCTTGAACAAATGGCATAAAGTTGCAATTATGATACTCAGATAAATTTTATTTTAGAACTTCATGAAAATAATACAGAACTTTAATAGTTTTGTAAATTTCCTAATTTTTAATAGAAATTTATCCATAAAGCTTCAATCATCTATAATTCTTTCTAGTTCTAGATAAATTGAGTACTAGAGTCCCTAATAATTTCCACTCACCCCCTGAGCACTTGTATAGTGCAGTAAAGCCATTGGATGCGTAAGCGGGACCCTGGTAGTATAAGCCGCAGGATTACATCCTTCGACCCTGACTCCAAGCATTAGTTTAGCTTCAGCTTCTCCGGCCCCAACGCGGACCATCACCCACGCTGCTCCTTCGACGATAGCCAATCGACGATCCTGGGTAGTCTGAGGTGCTGATCCTTTAAAAATAACATATAAGACTCACTCTGGGAAGAAACGCAGAAACAAACCACAGAGGTGTCTTTTTTTTAAGTCCGTGTACAATATTAAAAAGAACTATGTGAGTGCAGGTTGGCCTTTTGAAGACAGGACCATAGTATTGGGTCGGCCCGTCCATATTTGACGACTGGATGGCGTAGTGGTTTGTGTAACGGACTGCTATTCCAAAGGTCGCGGGTTCGATTCCCGCTCAAATCAAACATTTGTGTGCATGAACATTTGATGTTTGATTTGGTCTGGGTGTTTCTATGTATAATATGTATGTATTTACAAAAAAAGTATATTATGTATTTATATCAGTTGTCTAGTACCCATAGTACAAGCTCTGCTAAGTTTGGGACTAGATGGCGTTGTGTGTATGTGGTACAATATATTATTATATTATATATTATACAGATGACATACGAGCCCCAGCCATTGTATAGCCTAACCGATATAGTCAGGATCAACAACCTGGTACACGACACTACCGCCTGTAGGACCCTTGAGTGGGCCGTGGAAACACTCAAAACCACCAGAAACTTACTAAAATATGTACTATCATTACAAGCCTACACTATACTTACTTACTATACTATTTACATACTTACACAAAAAAAAAATACAGTTCAATTTCAAATAAACAAATTGAAAACAAATGAAATACGAATCACGACAAAAAATTAAATGTTCATCACTTTCAAATGTGGGAGTGAGCAGCATCAATCCCAAGCTAATTTATCATCTAAATAATCTGTAACCGTGTAGAAAGCATTTTCAGATAGTTTTTGTTTAACTAAGGACTTAAATTTTTTAATACTTAATTCATGAAATTTGCTTGTCATTTTATTATAGAATCGCACACCCTGACATTGAAAACACTTGCGTACTTTTTGTAGTCTAGTCGTCGGCAACTATCTTATGGCAATTTTACTTTTTTTGAACAAAATTTCCTTTTCTATATGCTAAATTTTGTATACACCTTGTAACGTTGAATATTATTTATATACTTTAGAAAATAATACCGTGTACTGATACGGCAGTTCTTAACCGAGCTTCTTCAATATTGTTAAAAAAAATTACGTGTTAGGAGCTCTACATTAAACCCCAATTCGCTCCATTCCATTCCATTGAACTCCAATTCGGTCGCCGTTTTTCTAACTGAAAGTAACTTATAAACTACTCATTATATATAGGATATTTGTATCCGTATCCACGGATATGTGGCTATTCTATTCAAAAAACACGTGTATTCCATATCCGTTATCTCTTGGCGGCTCTTGACAATTCTTTTACATTATTTTATTTTATTAATAAATATTGAGGTATTGATATTAATGAAAAGAGATCTAGACATTAATAAATCCATTTACGTAGCCACATCTGCGGATCCAATCAACTCACTCAAAATATATTTATTTCATGAAAATTTATAAAAATAATTATTTCTTTTTACACGCTTTATATTAGCTTCACTTGTATGTTTGTTTGTATGTTTGTATGCTTGTAACCGACTCTTTTGGGCGTGATTTTTACCAACTTTAAACGGTCAGAATGCGTTCAAACTTTGTAGATATATCGAGGACCGACGACAATACACTAATTTAAAAAAAAAAATTTTTTTAGGTATCTAAAAAACACGCTTTCTATAGAAAACCAAACTAAAAAATAGAAAATAAATTTGAAAAAAAGCGTTAGGTGCTTTTTACTATTGACAACAAGCACCCAACGCTTTTTTCTCAATTTTTTTAGACTCTTAAGTCATAGATCAACTCAAAATAGCAACATTCTATTTTATCAAATATTTCGTAAAAGGAAGTTAATCCATTATATGCCTGTGCCGATCTACAACCGCCCGTTTCCAAGGAGTTGAGCCTTATGAGGAGAAAGAGCCAACAAACTCACGGCTACTCTTTTTTAATTACAGCTAGATGCAGTCGCATCATTAGATATATTGTAACGGTGCATTTCGCGCCATTACAGTAATTTGAACCTTAGTCTCGTTTTTGTTTTGTTAGATTGAATTTTTTGTCGTTTCTGCGTGTGCCGATGGTCGGGGGACGGACGGGAGTAATAATCGATGTTGTTCGCCCACGATTGTTTAGTCGATTTAGTTTTTCTTGTACTGGCAACATTTTTGTTTCCCCGCTCTATAGAGCGAGAGGCTATTGCACTGGTATCACTTTGACTTTCACTTTTGGATCGGCCGCCGAGAGAAATGACGCAAAACCGTTTTGTCATTTAATTTTTTAGAAATCCGTATTTATTTGATATGGACGAGGGCCTATTTCCTCTTTAAATGTTTGGCCAACCTAGTTAAGACTCGAGCTAGTGGATCGAGTGATTATTTTTGTTAAAAAAGGTGAGTTTGTGCGGCCACGTGCTTCACGCTTGGCTTGGCGGAATTTGTGGTTTTAACTCTTTGTTTAATTGGTTACAGGCAATGCTTATGAAT